ATCATCCTCACTTTTTTGTCCATTCCCTATAGATACCCCTAAGTTGACAGCATATCACTGAACAATTCAACTTTCAAGCATTTTGTGGTTGGGATGCAAAATGTTTTTCCAGTGTGGCAGTATTAATATGTGTGCTCTTGAACTCCCCAGCCATAAAAAACACTGTTCTGAGTAGTTGGTGTAAGACAGTATTTCTCAACCTCAGTGACTTTAAGATGTGTGGACTTCAACTCCCAGAATTCCCCAGCCAGTCACTGAGCTTGCGAAACACTCTTGGAACTTCTTCTAACGTTGCACCTTGCAATATCTCAAAGTGTTCCTATTATTATGAAAGTTTCTGTTTTCGCTACCTCATTCTCAAGGTTTGTGACCATTTCTTTCACGTGCTGGTGCTACCAAGCAATTCTTCTATTGGAGGAGGTGGGAAACACGGCTAATGTTGATGTGAATGTTTTCTGATACATCTCCCCACCTAGATTTACATTTCCCAAATGTGATGTGAGCTCTTGTACCTGGACTCTTTGTATTTTGGATCAAGTTTGTTTCCTGCTGAGTTTTCCTTGCTGTCTTCAGTTTTGCAGTTTGCATATTACAGGCAAGCTGGGCCTGTTGTAAAGATCATACTTTGTTAGTTATCTGTTTTCCTTTAAAGAACTGTTGAACTCCGTTGACTGCTTTATTGAACTTGTGCCAGCATATGTGAGGGCTGTTGGGTGAACGTTGGCAGTGCTTAAAAAGACAATTATTCTGACCAGCTAATTGCTTTGCCTCCGTTCGGGGCCCTGGGTCATCACATTGTGTTTGTTCTTGTGATCTAACACAAGCAGTGAGTTTTTGAAGGAGCTTTTCCCCCCTGGTCCCCCACGAGCCAGGTCACGTGCTGTCCTTGTCATCGCTGTGTATGGTCTGGTGCCGAGTGAGGTGTGCCTTCCGGATGAAATCTCTCCCACACTTAGGGCACTTATACGGTTTCACTCCCGCGTGAATCCTTTTGTGGTTAATCAGCCCTGAACCTGAATGGAATTGGCTGCCGCACTGCAAGCATTTGTACGGCTTCTCTCCCGTGTGGGTCCTTTCGTGGATGGTCAGAAGGGAGTTGCGGCTGAAGCATTTCCCACAGGTGGGACACCTGAAGGGTTTTTCGCCCGTGTGGCTCCTCTTATGCACCAGGAGGTGAGAACTCTGGCTGAAGTTTTTCCCGCAGAAGGAGCATTTGTACGGCTTCTCGCCGGCATGGCTGCGCTGGTGGTAGATGAGACCTTGGCGCGAGTGGAAACTGCTCCCACACTGGGCGCACTTGTAGGGCTTCTCCACGTCGTGGGTCCTCTGGTGGAAATTCAGATGCAAGCTTTGACCAAAGGTCTTCCCGCAGATTGAACACTTGTGATAAGGTCTCTCGGGAATCGGGATAGTATTGCCTGGTTCCTGTCTCAAGTCCACCCCAGATGGGATGCTTGAGTTCTGGGTCTGGAATAACAGAGGTTTGCTCAAGATCTTCCTATTGGTGACCGAAGCGATGGACATGGCTGCTTTGTTCCGTGTATGGATTCCTTGCTGAAGCTTTGGCCATGCCTGATTCTGGAAGAGTTTCCGTTGCTCGGGGACACGGGAAAAGTTCACTGGAAGTTTTTAAGAAGAGACTGGACAGCCATTTGTCTGAAATGGTGTAGGGTTCCTGCCTGAGCAGGGGGTTGGACTCGATGACCTCCAAGGTCCCTTCCAACTTTTTTATTATTATTATTATTATTATTATTATTATTATTATTATTATTATTATTATTATTATTATTATTATTATTACCTTACCGGTAAGACCACCACAGCTAGGCCTTCCACACCCTGACACCTGTCGCGCCACTACTTGACTTCTGCGGCCACTTGCCACCACTGTTGCTGCTCCTCCCGGCAGGACGCTGCATGGTGCTTTGGGCTGCTTCCGCTGCTTGCGCACTTTAGGCCACTTTTGTTGCTCGCAGCAGGAGGCCACGTGGTGCTTCGGGCCGTTTCTGCTGAGGAAACAGCTCAAAGTGTCGCGCGGCATCCTGCCGTGAGCAGCAGAAATGGCACAAAGCGCCATGCGGGGTCCTGCTGGGAGGAGCAGCAATGGCGCAATACGCCACATGGCATCCGGTCACATGTGACGGCAAGCAGCCGCAGAAGAAGTCAAGCAGCGGCATGACAGGTGTCGGGGTGTGGGAGGCCTGGCTGTGGTGGTCCTAAGGTAAGACATTCTCCAAAATTAAGACCTAGTGCCACTTTTGGACGAAAAAAATATATAAGACCAGGTCTTAATTTCGGGAAAACACGGTAGTAGCACTGGTTATTAAGTTGGAAGGGACCTTGGAGGTCATCTAGTCTAACCCCCTGCTCAGGCAGGAAACCCTATACAAATGGCTGTCCAGTCTCTTCTTAAAAACTTCCAGTGTTGGAGCATTCACCGCTTCTGGAGGCAGGTTGTTCCACTGGTTAATTGTTCTAACTGTCAGGAAGTTTCTCCTTAGTTCTAGGTTGCTTCTCTCCTTGATTAGTTTCCACCCCTTGCTTCTTGTCCTGCCTTCAGGCGCTTTGGAGAATAGCTTGACTCCCTCTTCTTTGTGGCAGCCCCTGAGATATTGGAACACTGCTATCATGTCCCCCCTCGTCCTTCTCTTCATTAAACTAGACATACCCAATTCCAGCAACCTTTCCTTATATGCTTTAGCCTCCAGTCCCCTAATCATCTTTGTTGCTCTTCTCTGTACTCTTTCTAGAGTCTCAACATCTTTTTTACATCTTGGTGACCAAAACTGGATGCAGTATTCCAAGTGTGGCCTTACCGAGGCATTGTAAAGTGGTATTAATACTTCACGTGATCTTGATTCCATCCCTTTGTTAATGCAGCCCAGCACTGTACAAATAGTCTTCAACTTACAACAGTTCATTTAGTGACTGTTTGAAGTTACAACGGCCCTGAAAAAGTGACTTGTGACAGTTTTTCACATTTACAACTGTCACAGCACCCCTGTGGTCACATGATCAAAATCCAGACACTTGGCAACTGACTCATATTTATGACAGTTAAAATGTCCCGTTGTGTGTGTGTGTGTGTGTGTGTGTGTGTCTTGTGATTTCCTTTTGCGACCTTCTGACAAGCAAAGTCAGTGAGGAAGCCAGATTCACTTAACAACTGGGTTACTAACAACTGCAGTGATTCACTTAACAAATGTGGCAAAAAGAGGTCGTAAAAATGGGGCAAAATTCACTTAGCAACTGTCTCGCTTAGCAGTGGAAATTTTGGGCTCAATTGCAGTCGTTAAGTCGAGGACTGCCTCTTTCTTTGAAGTGGTGTCCCAACAGGACATGGATTGCCTGGGGTCCTACAAAAACACTCAAATCGCATCTAAACCACTGTGGAAACATTTACAAGAAAAACTTGTCTTAAAACAGGCGTGGAAAGGAGAGGAGCAAAATTGAGAGGTTTTAAGGGTGTGGGGTGCAGACAGTACCTGGGAGACTATTGTCACCGTCGCTTTCTCCTTTGAGTTCTCCGTGCAGCTGGCTCTGACCCGGATGCTGGAAAGCTTGTGTTGGTCCTGAAAAACCAAGTGCTACTTCATCGCATGGCACGGCATCCTGAAACATTTAATGGAGATCCACTTAACTAGCTGAAGGAGATTAAACCTTAATCCAGGAGTCCCCAACCCTCGGTCCTTGGACCAGTACCGGAATTCTGGGAGATGAAGTTCACACATCATCATCAGTGACTAGCACTGATGATGTTACCTAGTTTGGGTAACGAAAGGTCTGCGAGAAAACAACCAAGATCAGAAAGCACCAAGGACCCTTCAATCTCGGAGTCCTAGTGGACAATCACTTAAATATGAGCCAGCAGTGTGCTGCAACTGCCAAAAAAGCCAACACAGGGCTGGGCTGCATTAACAGAGGGATAGAATCAAGATCACGTGAAGTATTAATACCACTTTCTCAACCATAAATTCTCCAAAGTGCCTGAAGGCAGGACAAGAAGCAACGGATGGAAACCAAGCAAGGAGAGAAGCAACCTGACAGTTACAACAATTAACCAGTGGAACAACCTGCCGCCGGAAGCGGTGAATGCTCCAACACTGGAAGTTTTTAAGAAGAGACTGGACAGCCATTTGTCTGAAATGGTGTAGGGTTCCTGCCTGAGCAGGGGGTTGGACTCGATGACCTCCAAGGTCCCTTCCAACTTTATTATTATTATTATTATTATTATTATTATTATTATTATTAATAATAATAATAATAATAATAATAATAATAATACGGACCGGTTGCCAAGTGTCTGAATTTTGCTCACATGACCACAGGGATGCTGCAATGGTCGTGTGAAAAACGGTCATAAGTCACTTTTTTCAGTACTGTTGTAACTTTGAACGATCAGTAAATGAGCTGTTGGAAGTATTTATTTATTTATAACAACAACAATCTTTATTATGGTCACGGACCAGTACCTTACTTACTTATTTTTTTATCAATCAAATTTATTGGCCACCCATTTCACCACACAGGGTAACTCTGGGCAACAATAGGGACCTTTGGATACTTTGATACTTAGGCTTAAAATCTTCGGCTTACAAGTAAACAACAACTAAAGCTAATGCAATCCTGGGTTGCATAAACAGAGGCATAGAATCAAGATCACGTGAAGTAATATTACCACTTTATAAAGCCCTAAAGGCTAAAACATACGAAGAACGGCTAAGGGACTTTGGGTTTGGCTAGTCTAAAGAAAAGAAGAAATAGGGGAGACGTGATAGCAGTATTCCAGTATTTGAGGGGCTGCCACAAGGCAGAAGGGGTCAGATGGTTCACCAAAGCACCCGAGGGCAGGACCAGAAACAATGGTTGGAAACTGATCAAAGAGAGAAGCAACCTGGAATTAAGGAGAAACTTCCTGACAGTGAGGACAATTAACCAGTGGGACAGCTTGCCTCCAGAAATAGTGGGCACTCCATCACTGGAGATTTTTAAGAGGAGACTGGGCATTCACCTGTCTGAGACGGTATAGGTTCTCCTGTTTGAGCAGGGGGCTGGACAAGAAGACCTCCAATGCCCCTTCAAATTCTATTCCATTCCATTCCATTCCATTTTTTTCTATTCTATTCTATTCTATTCTATTCTATTCTATTCTATTCTATTCTATTCTATTCTATTCTATTCTATTCTATTCTATTCTATTCTATTCTTTCAACCCAGTCAGTAAGCAGCCATTCAAAGTTACAACGGAATACCCCAAAAGCTATTTACGACATGCTTTTGAATTTCTGACATCCAGGCTCCGCTATAGCCATGTGACTACATTTTAGGTACTCGGCAAAAGCCTGCACTTATGGCCATTTGCAGTGCAGTGACTGCAATTTACGATGGTTTTTCTGGAAACTGGGCTTTACTTCCTGTTTCTGGCAACAAAACAGCTCAAAACAATGAGCTTGCTTTACAAACATCACCAAAAAGGTCATAAAATGATCATGTGATGACTCACTTTATGACCGTCACAATATATGACTGTAATTGCCAGGCTCAATTGCAGTTGTACGTTGAAGGCTGACTATACTTATTGTTTGTCTCTATCGAGTCGCATAAACAATCTATCTATGGCTGCTAGGAGTTGAAAACGACTTCATGGCAAGATAGATAGATAGATGATAGATAGATAGATAGATAGATAGATAGATAGATAGATAGATAGATGATAGATAGATAGATAGATAGACAGAATAGAATAGAATAGAATAGAATAGAATAGAATAGAATAGAATAGAATAGAATAGATGACAGACAGACAGATGACAGACAGATAGACAGACAGACAGAGATAGAATTATGATAGATGGAAATAGATCATAGATAGAATAGAAGAATAGAATTGAATTGAATTGAATAGAATAGGATGACAGACAGACAGACAGATGACAGACAGATAGACAGACAGACAGAGATAGAATTATGATAGATGGAAATAGATGATAGAATAGAATAGAATAGAATAGAATAGAATAGAATAGAATAGAATAGAATAGAATAGATGACAGACAGACAGATAGAGATAGAATTATGATAGATGGAAATAGATGACAGACAGACAGACAGACAGACAGACAGACAGACAGACAGACAGACAGACAGACAGACAGACAGACAGACAGATATGTGATAGGATGGAAAGCAGGACACTGAGAGTTCAAGTCCCACCTTAGCTATGAAAGCCAGCCAGGTGACTTTAGGCCAGTCACTCTTTCTTAGCCTAACCCACCACACAGGGTTGTTGTTTGTGGATAAAATAGGAGGAGGATACATTCGTTGCCTTGAGTTACTTGTAAAAACAATAAAGGTGCAATACAACTACATTAAAAATTCTGTCTTCTATCTATCTGGTATAATCAAAACATACAAGAATCTTAGAGCGGAGAGGTTGTGGGTCAGAGGGAGGAAGGATAGGAAAGTGGATGAGGGTGGAGGCAAGGCGGGGACTGCCGAGCGTTTCCGACAATGTATTGACTTGGATTATTATTTTTTTCTCTCTGCTTGTGTATGTAAATGCATCATATCGCTATTTGTTGTTTAACTATAAAAATCAATAAAAATTTTATTAAAAAAAAAAAAAGAATCTTAGAGCCATTTCAGCCACAAACAATTGATCAGTTTCTCTAATCTAGTCAGTTTCTCAGTGGCTGGTATATAGTACCCTCAGACCCACTAGTTAACAGTACCTACCAGAGCGTATAAAAAAAATAAGGTGCTATATTCATGCATGCAATGTAGGTGACTATTAAAGTCTGGTGAACATTAAACTCCGTGCACATTGGAAATGGACAGCGATGCTTCACATTTCTCCCTTTGAGACGTGCTGCGTCTCCACCACTAACTTTATGCTCACAGATGTAATCAGGATCTGTTCTCCTCACCTGCCGCTCCCACTTCGCCATTCCTTGCTGCCTCTGCAGAAAATCCTCGGCCAGGGCTACCGCCTGGGAGCAAGTATCGGGGCCCCGGGCTCTGACCCAGGTCTGAATTTCCTCTGGCAGGATAGTCAAGAACTGCTCCAGGATCAACAACTCCAGAATCTGCTCCTTGGAGTGTTTCTCCACCTCCAGCCACCGGCGGCAAAGCTCCTGAAGATGGCGGCAAACCCGCCGTGGGCCCTCGGCCTCCTGGTAGCAGAAACGGCGGAAGTGCTGGCGCTGCTTTTCCCGGCTGAGGGCGCTTCCCCGCAAGATGGCCGCCTTCACTTTCCCATAGTCCTCTTGCTCTCTGGCCTCCAGGCCACTAAAGGCCCATTCAGCTTGCCCGCTGAGGGAGGGCAGGAGTCGGGCTACCCACTCGTGTTTTGGCCACCGGCAGGCTTTGGCCACCTGCTCAAAGGAGGCCAGGAAGCCCTTGGCATCATCCCACAGGCTGGGATCCTGGGGCAGCTGAGGAGACTCCCATCCTGAGCAAGGGGACCCCGTTTCTTGCAGAAAGTGCTGCCACTGGGTGTCCCAATAAGGAAAGATCACTTCATCTGGTTCCTGTTTAACCGTCTTCTGTGGTGGCAGCCTTTGTGGGAATCTCCCAGTGCTTCCGGTCGGCAGCAGATGATGGTTTTCCCCCACCTTGCCTGACCCTCCTGCCATTTTGAGGACGATCACTGGATCTTCCATTTCCAAGATGGGAATGGAGCTTCTCTGCAGAAGGAGAAAGAAGACACACAAGAGAAAGTTGACAAAAGCACATGGGAAAAATCCTGCCCACGATGAGCTGGGAAACCAAAAGCTTCCCAATGACCCCAACATATCTTTATTTCTTGGTTTAGAACAGAGGTCTCGAAACTTGGCAACTTTAAGACTTGTGGGCTTCAACTCCCAGAATTCCTCAGCCAGCTGGGCTGGCTGAGGAATTCTGGGAGTTGAAGTCCACAAGTCTTAAAAGTTGCCAAGGTTGGGGAGCCCTGGTTTAGAGCATTTGTATGGCTGCCCATCTTAAATACCTCTGGGCTGCTAATAAAGAAAACTGTGCTATAAAGCTTGCTGACTGGGGAATTCTGGGAGTTAAGAGTCCACAAATCTTAAAAGTTGTCAAGGTTGAGAAACTGGCCTATGCAAAACGAATGTATATATATAATAGTCACAATACAACAGTAATTGTGGTGCAATAGCCAAGTTGCCTCAGGATCAACTCATGACACCAACAAGCACATGTTTATTTTAGCCCTTTATTTTGTAGGTTTTAGATGTTTTACATGGATGCCACTAACAATCAATGAGGACCAAGGATTCAGTGAAATGGAACCTTTCTTAATCATCTTTAAAATGCCACGAGGGAAGGAGTTTTATGAATTGCTGGATTAAAGATTCTAAGCGTGAGAGACAGGTTATGGCCTCATCCATGTCTCCTTAACTGACAGTAAGGGGAGACCTTTAACTGGTTCTCCTAAGATGTTCTCATGTTTACAACTATTATCTTCTTTCATGTCTCTGTGTGTGTATGATGACAAATGAGCCACCTGGTCCTAAGTCAGGTTGTTTGCACCCCTCCCTGCTACCCAACTACACCATCTCCTAGTTAGTCCCAAAGATACCTGGAGGAGACTGGAGCGGCAATGCCACGGTAACTTTCTCTTGATCTTCGGCCCTGCTAGGGCAATAATGGCTGCGGGCGCAAGAGGCAGGGGCGGCGGGGCTGCTGCGGGCGGGGGTGTGAGGGCCGGCGGTGGCCAGCTGCCCCCCGCGCTGTGGGAGCCGCGGGGCCTGTTCTACATGGGGCTGTGCAGGGTGGACAGTGGTGCTGGCGGGGCAGCTGCAGGCGGAGTGTGTTGACGGCGGGCTGCCCCCCGGGGCCGGAGCCGGCGCAGCTGGTGCTTTGGGAGCCACGGGGCCCGCTCTACATGGCGGGGCAGCAGTGCTGGCGGGGCGGCTGCGGGCGGGGGCGCAGCATGTAAGCATAACTACAATATAAAATGTTATTGTTACAAATGTTTTTTATTATGCATTTACCATATTATAGTGTATTCTGTATTATTGTTGCAATGAATAAAATGTTTCTTTTATTTACGGTATTTTTTTCTTCACTTTATTTGTGTCCTCCTTTTCATTGTAAAAAAGTTGGTCACCTTATTTAATAGTCACTGGATTTGGGTAGCTGCTTTTTTGTTTTAATGCAAAACACTGAGCAGGTTCTCTTGCCTCCCACCCAACCTACCCGCATTTTTAAAAACTCACCCAATTTTCTTGATTTTGACTGCACCCTGCAGGTCTCCCTTCCTGCATATGCACGCCGTGCAACTGTGGCAGAGAAAGGCAAATACCCTTTGGAATTTGCATTGGAATCCTTAGGAAGATGAAAAATGCCTGTTTCCAGAGGGAGGGGAAAAACTGTGAGAATAGGAAAAGAATCTGCAGTTATTTACGTTCTCCTTTTTAAAGCTATGATTTCACTTCCGTATTTTCCACTCTAGGAATCCCTTTTTCAAGAATTCACTAGCCTTAACTCTTTTATGCCCAGGTTTCTTACAAGACTTTCCTATCCTTATACTTTTTAGATAGAATCTGGCCATTGCCCAGCTGTGGACAAAGGAAGTTATGGTTCAGCACATCTGCATGGAGTTTGGAGAAGGAGGCTTATACTTAATGAACCATAAGTTCTCAACCATAAATTCTCCAAAGCGCCTGAAGGCAGGACAAGAAGCAACGGATGGAAACTAATCAAGGAGAGAAGCAACCTGACAGTTAGAACAGTTAACCAGTGGAACAACCTGCCTCCAGAAGGTGTGAATGCTCCAACACTGGAAGTTTTTAAGAAGAGACTGGACAGCCATTTGTCCGAAATGGTATAGGGTTTCCTGCCTGAGCAGGGGGCTGGACTAGATGACCTCCAAGGTCCCTTCCAACTTTATCATCATCATCATCATCATCATCATTATTGTTATTATTAATTTAATGCATTTTTGTGGGATTAATTAATCAGCTATAAATTGAATCTTGAAATTCATTGGAAACTCCACACTGGAGAGAAACCCGTTCAGTGCTATTAGCACCGAAAGAGCTTCAGTAAAAGAACGTCTCTCATTTACCATCATATGTACCACAAGAGAGAGAGACCGAACCAGTGTTCGGACTGAGGGAAGAGCTTCAGTTGTGAGCTAATACCTTGCTTCTCATCAAACAATACATACCGAGGAGAAACCGTCCAATTGTTTGTTTTTTCAAATCTGCATTTATTTTTACCTGCTTTTGATGACAGTGATAGTTTCAATTGCCAAAGGCTTATTCTTTCCAGATAAACAGGCAAGCTGTTAATAGGGTCTAGGACAGTGGTGGCGAACCTATGGCACGGGTGCCAGAGGTGGCACTCAGAGCCCTCTCTGTGGGCACGCGCGCCGTCGCCCCAGTCATAGGCCTTCAGCTGGGTTTTATAAAATCTTTTCGCTTTAGGCCTCCGCCGCCCTGTACAAAAAAAAAGGCTCAATCAATCAGTCAATTTCAATTTCTCGCAGGGAAAAAAAAGATCTTGCAAAGTTGGAATTGATTGATTGAACTTTTTAGACCCACCCAGTCTGCTGTTAACACTGCAGCCACGCCCACCCAATGGGCCACGCTCACCCAATGGGCCACGCCCACTCAATGGGCCACACCCACCTGGCACCCGACGATGCATAAGTGGGTTTTGGGTTGCAGTTTGGGCACTCGGTCTCTAAAAGGTTCGCCATCACTGGTCTAGGATTAAATAAAAAGAAGACCGACTAAGGACAAAAGGTAGAATAGAACAAACCCCTTTCGAACTGGCAATGAAAATATCAAAGTAGTGAACAGCTTCTGCCTTTTAGCGTCAACCATCCACAGTAAAGGAAGTCGTAATCAAGAAATAAGCCCCAGTCCAGCACTTGGTAGAACAGCCATAAAGGCCTTGGAAAACGTATTTAAATGCCAAGATGGGTCTCTACCTACGATAATTAGAATTGTGTAAGCCAGGATCATCTTCCCTATGATGTTCTATGAATAGACTAGACTAGACTAGACTAGACTAGACTAGACTAGACTAGACTAGACTAGAATAGAATAGAATAGAATAGAATAGAATAGAAAGTTGGGCTTAAAGAAGCATGATAGGAAGAGGACTTGATGCTTCTGACATTTCCCCATTTCTGCTTTCCGGATGGCCCTAGTACTACAACACACCCCAGCTTCACGTGTTTGGGGCACCCTTTCGAACCAGTTTCTTTGGAACAGTGGTGAAGTCCTTAGAGGCTGAAGGATAATATCTCTGTGTAGATGTTAATGGAGATATTCAACCAGCTTTGTGAATTTCCCTGTTTCCTGGGATGGTATATAGGCCCTGGGGCTATAGGCCAATGTTTCTCAACCTTGGCAACTTTAAGATAGCTGAACCTCATCTCCCAGAATACCCCATGCTAGCTGGGGTATTCTGGGAGTTGAGGTTCACATATCTTTGAGATGCCAAGGTTGAGAAACACTGCCCTAGACTAACCTGATGCATTAAAACCCCAAATCTGGTTACAGCAGGGGTCTTCAATCTTGGCAACTTTAAGACTTGTGGACTTCAACTCCCAGAATTCCTCAGCCAGCCTTGGCTGGCTGAGGAATTCTGGGAGTTGAAGTCCACAAGTCTTAAAGTTGCCAAGATTGGGAACTCTTGGTTTAAGAGCATTTGTATGGCTGCCCATCTTAAATACCTCTGGGCTGCTAATAAAGAAAACTGGCTGAGGAATTCTGGGAGCTGAAGTCCACAAGTCTTAAAGTGGCCAAGTTTGAAGACCTCTGGGTTACAGCTTCGCACCAACCACGCCCAGGTGCATCAGTCCGGCCTTAGATCACCTGTACGGATTACCGACTTAGTGCGAATCTCCCTTGCCCCCCCCCCCCCGCCTTTCCCCTCCCTGTTTCNAAGAAGGGAGCACCAAATGCTCCTCCCATTCCCGGTCTCGTCTGAATGCTCCCGGGGACGGATGCTGGCAGCGGCGTTAGCAGAAGGGGCTGAGATCTATCCGGGCATTTCTGGTCTGTGCTGGTGGGGAGGGGGGCGGGGGACCCGGGCCTTTGGGGGGGGTCCCCATTTAACGGGGGGGGCATCCGCTGGTGGATTTCCCCCTCTCCGCCTTGTTCATTTGGGCGAAGCGAAGCCGGAGAGAAGCAGGCAGGGAGGAAGAGAACTGGGAAGGCCCCCCCCCAAAAAGGTCTGAGTTATCCCAGCAAAGACAATGTGGGGAGGGGGCATCTTGGTAGAGCAAGCAAGAGGGTCCGTGGTCTTCCCTTTTCTCTACTCCAGTGTTTCTCAACCTTGACAATTTTAAGGCATGTGGACTTCAACTCCCAGAATTCCACAGCCAGCAATGCTGGCTGTGGAATTCTGGGAGTTGAAGTCCACATGCCTTAAAATTGTCAAGGTTGAGAAACACTGCTCTACTCCCTTTTTCCACATCTTTCTCGTTTTCAGTTTGATTGCTGCTGCCTACCCGCCCCCCCCCCCGGCCCCTTTTGCAGGCTTAAAACTTTCAGGGGGGCGTTCAATGTCTTACTAGGTGTGGGTCGGCTTTATCGGCTGATTTTCTTTCAAAAGGGTCCAAAACCGCTTTTAGTTTTCTGATCGCCTGTTTGTTTTAGCTGTTGAAGCTTTATTGTTGTTGTTTTTTAACCCATCCTGCTCCTGATGAGTTCTAGGTGACTGGGGAGGGGGGAAGCATAAAAGCAGCAGTCCGTTCAGCCAAAACCATCCCTACTTATAATATCTTACTCTTTTTCTTAATGCTTAATTTATTCCCCTCCCCAAGTATAAACCTGCAAGGTAGACAGGCTGGATCCAGCGCCAGTCATCTGGAGTTTCTATATCTGAAGATAGATTTGAACCCAGCTCTCTCAATACCCTTCCTTCCTTCCTTCCTTCCTTCCTTCCTTCCTTCCTCCCTCCCCCTTCTTTCTTTCTTTCTTTCTTTCTTTCTTTTTCTTTCTTTCTTTCTTTCTTTCTTTCTTTCTTTCTTTCTTTCTTTCTTTCTTCTCTCCCTCCTTTCCCTCTTATTTCTTCATTTTTTCCCTTTAATAATAATAATAATAATAATAATAATAATAATAATAATAATAATAATAATAATAAAGTTGGAAGGGACCTTGGAAGTCATCTAGTCCAACCCCCTGCTCAGGCAGGAAACCCTACACCATTTCGGACAAATGGCTGTCCAGTCTCTTCTTAAAAACTTCCAGTGTTGGAGCATTCACCGCTTCTGGAGGCAGGTTGTTCCACTGGTAGATTTGAACCCAGCTCTCTCAATACCCTTCCTTCCTT